AGGGAAGGGAAGAGAGAGCGAGACAGAGGGGATGGAGACAGATGGAGGATGAAGGAGGGGAGGGAGGAATGGCGGGAATGAAGCGATGGAGGGGCAAGGAAGTGGGAGGGAGGGAATGAAAGAATGGAGGGAGGGAATGAAGAGGCCAGACAGGGATCGCGCTGGGAGGATCCTGCAGGGGTTGGGGGGGCCATGTCCACCCAGCAGCTCCTGACACCCCCCCCACCCCGTTCTGTCCCCCCTTCCCAGTCCTGCGGTGCTTCGGGATCGCCACACGCACAGTCACCAACTACAACTCGGCCCACGACACGGACGTCAGCCTCACCATGGACATCTACTTCGACGAGAACATGAAACCGCTGGAACGGCTCAACGCCGACTCCGTCTGGTGAGGGGCGGCCACCGGGGGGCGCTGGGGGGCAGCTCCCGGTTACTCCAGCACGGGGCACTGGGGGGCAGCTCCCGGCTACTCCAGCAGGGGCTCTGAGGCAACTGGTGACCCCCCCCTCTGCCCCCCAGGAATTTCCACGTGTGGAACGACTGCTGGATGACCCGGCCCGACCTGCCCTCGGGGTACGACGGGTGGCAAGTGGTCGATGCCACCCCCCAAGAGACCAGCAGTGGTGAGTGGGGGGCAGAGGAAGAAGGGGGAGGGGAGAAGAGGGGGAGGCTGGGGGATAGGTTTGAAGGCGGAGCCAGGGGATGAGATGGGGGGGTCTTGGTTAGAGGGGTCCCTCCCGCTGTAGCATGAGAAGCCCCCTCCCACAATGCACCTCCCCTCTGTTGGTGGGTGGGATCCAGTGTCAGGGAGTTCCCCAGGACAATGGGAACGTGGCTTTGGGGCCACGGGGGCTGTTGGGTCTGACTGTGTGTGTGTCTCCCACCCCCACCGCCCCTTCCCCTAATCCTGGCCATACCTCCCCCCCTTTAACCCCGCCCCCCAGGTATCTTCTGCTGCGGACCCTGCTCGGTGCAGGCCATTAAGAACGGGCTGGTGTACCTGAAGTACGACGCGCCCTTCATCTTTGCTGAGGTATTTGTGGGGGGGAGGAGCAAAAATGTCTGCTCCCCCGAAGATAAAAATCAATATTTGGGGGAGGGCTGCGAAGGGGGGTGGTCTCCATCTCTCTGTGGGGGCTGTGAAGGGGCGGGGTCTCCGTGGGGGCTGTGAAGGGGCGGGGTCTCCCTGTGGGGGCTGCGAAGGGGTGGGGTCTCCGTGGGGGCGGGGACACTCCGTGGGGGCTGTGAAGGGGCGGGGTCTCTGTGGAGCGCTGACCCAATCCCCACCCCTCCAGGTGAACAGCGACAAGGTGTACTGGCAGCGCCAGGCCGACGGCACCTACAAGATCGTCTACGTGGAGGAAAAGGCCATCGGGCACCTGATCAGCACCAAGGCTGTGGGCTCGCACGAGCGTCACGACGTCACCGATATTTACAAGCACACCGAGGGTACGCGCCAGGCACTGGGGGTGGGCAGTGCCAGGGGGGCCGGGCCCCTCGCCCACGCTGCCCACCTGGCCTGCCCCCCACAATCGCACTGCCTTAAGCACTCGCGTGTGCACGCTCGGTCATGCACGCTTGCTCATGTCACCTCGGCTGCATTTGCACACTGGCTCTGGCACGTGTCACACGTCCTCTTCTGCATGGGCATGCTCACTTTTGTGCCCTCTTCTGCACGTGCATACTCACTGTTGCACACTTCACATGCCCTCTTCTGCATGTGCACACTCATTCTTGCACACTTCGCACACCCTCTTCTGCATGTGCATGCTCACTCTTGCACACTTAGTCACGCACTTGCTCTTGCACTCTGGGAAGCACCTGTTGCCATGCATGCTCGTGCGCCTTCGCACACTCAGTTCTCAGGCTCTCGCCTGCGCTCTCCTCCATTCCCACTTGCACCCTCGATTTGGAAAGCACACTCACTAGTGCACAGCCTTGTGCAAGTGCAGCACTCACTCCTGCAGGTCTCTCATGCACCTGTGGACTCTCTTACATATATACCCACTCACTGAGCACATGAATTCTTGCACTTGTGCACACTAACTAGCACACTTGCCCTTCTCTCTCGCCATCCTGTTTGCACACTCATGTGTCAGTGTTTGCACGCTCACGTGTGCATGTCTTCTGCACTACATTGGCATGCTTGCACACTGTTTTGGTTTGCACGCTTGTTCCTGTGCCCTCGCCCATCCATGTTTGCATGCTCACGTCTCCCTGTGTGCTGGTGAGCACTCAATCGCTGGACCCCTGCCAACAGCCGTCTGATTTCTTGCTGCGCACCAGCAGGAGCGAGCGGTTCAATCCAAGAAGCTGCCCCGTGCAGAGCTGTGACACTCCCCTAACACGGAGGCTGGGCTCCCAGCAGTGCAGGAGGATTTGACACACTGCCAAACTCTTGACACATCCCAACGACCCAACCCACCCTGTTGTGCCGGTTCCCTGCGTGTTTGTTGTGGGTCTTGGCTTAACTCTGGTTTGGAGAATGGATTCCAGGGGCTGGGCCGGGCCGGCCCCTCCTCGGCGCACGCTGAGCCTGGAATGAGCGTGGCTGGCTTTGGACACCTTTCCTCGCTGCTTGTGCCAAACACTGGGCTGGGCTGGTGTCGGGCCTGTGGGTCACGACCCAGCGGGCGGGAGCGGAATTCATGGGAAAACAGCGAGCGCCTGTACCAGCCGAGTGTTCATATCCCGGGGTGACACTACCCTGACACCGGCTAGCTGTGCACACGCACGCTGGCACACACAATCATGTTTGCACACTCGCTTTTCCACATGTGTACACACATTTCCACGCACACTTTTTTGCCTGTCCACTCCCTCTTGTGCACTCACACATTTGTGTCTGCACACTCAATTTTGTTTGCACTCATACGTTCATGTGCATGCATTGTCACTTTTGCACACTCGTGTGCGCATAAACAGCTGTTTGCACACTCCGTTTTCTGCACTTGAATGCTCTCATTCTTGCACACTGATACATTTTGGAAAGTCCTTTTTCTGCATTTCCACACGGTCACACGCCCACACCTGCACACTCACTTTGCCCATGTTTGCACACACACAGTCCTGTTCACATTCTCATGTTTCTGCATTTGCACGCTCACTCTTGCAAGCCCACATCTGCAGGCTTTTGTTTCTGATTTACACACTTACACTCACCCATTCCTGTTTGCACACACACCCATTTCTGTTTGCACGCTCACCTTCTTGTACACCCTGGTGTTTGCACACACGTGCATGCTCAGGCACTGCTGTTTGCACACAAGTGCCCACCCTTGCACAAGGACCCTGGTCCCAGTGGGGGAGGCCCGGCTGGGATCCCCTCCCGCCCTCGCTGACCCCTCGTCCCCCCCCCAGGCTCAGAAGCGGAGCGGAAGGCGGTGGAGACGGCGGCACGGCACGGCACCAAGGCGCACATCTACAAGAACAAGGAGTGGGGCGAGGACGTGTCGCTGAGCGTGGAGACCTCGGAGGCCGTCATGGGCCAGGACGTGAGCGTCCAGGTGGCCCTGAGCAACCGGGGCAGCAGCAGCCGCAGCGTGGCCCTCACTCTGCACCTGGCACCCATGTTCTACACGGGCGTGACGGGGAGCACCTTCAAACAGGAGAGCCGGCAGGTGGAGATCCCGCCGGGAGGAGGTGAGCCCCGGT